TGCTTGCAAGTTTCGCAACCCTTGCATGGTCGTCAAACCCACGAATGGGAAGATGTACAGGAAATATATCAAAAATTCATAACAGCGACCACTACCGTTGTATCTCACTGCTCTGACAGCATCTTGACGGCAGTCGATCACTCGTGCTCGTTGGGTTGGTGCTCCTTTGCCCATTATTACAGTAATCCACAACCTTAATAATTAGGAACTGTACTTCGATCAGAGTGATTCTCCAATGATCAGAGGAGCAGACATAGGTGGAGACCCACAACCACTGAGCATTCCTCATCAACGCGTCCCTAGTCCCTAGCATTCTGAACAGAAGGCGCACGAACGAGGATGGTTTGGTACATGAGTCTCCGCTCATCCTATCTTCGTGGAACGTGTTTTTGAATTGATAAGATGGTTACAGATGTCATAACTGGGCGCTACACACTTAAGTTTATATAGACAGGCTCGAATTCAGAAGTTTCATTGGAGGAACCTAAAGTAAGGGTCCATGTGTACTGAAGATTACATTAAGTATGGCTGAAGAGAAGATAATACGACATAAGGCTGCAAGGAGCGCGGACTGGCTGCACTCACTGTCACCATTCACGGGTCACAGCCTAACCGTCATCAGATCCGTATCCAGTTCATGCACGCCCTTAACCCATGGACTCTCTCAGCTCTTTGAAAGATCGCCGGATCCGGTCCATTCTCTACCAGGCTCAGTATAGTCCACAAATACTCCTTTTTACTGCATACTTACGCCTCCTAGGCACACCTCTCCTCTTTGGAGTGTTAGGAAGGCGGGCCAATGGAAAAGGCACAATGGCAATCTGATTCCGCCCATGAACAACGTCGATGAGTCTTTGAACGCTGAACGGTTCCCCTTGCATGAACTGGATACGCACTGAAAACGCAGGGATTGTGCACCTTAGGAAGGATCGATAAGGGTGTGAAAGGAGTTGAAGGAACTGGAACGCTTCAACGCCCTGGTTACCTGCGCTTTGCAATGCTGAACATAGACAGGAAGGGATCACTACGTTTCTCCCCTCCACCCCTCCCCCGCACCCTTTCTCGATGGCAGTTTTTAAAAGAAAAAATTTTTTTTGAAAAACTCTGAAGAAGTGGTAAGAAACTAGGCGAATTTTGGGAGAATTCAGAGAGATAGGTAGGATAGTGAATGGGCAAGGACGGGAGGGTCGCACCAGAGGATGAAACTGTGAGGGGGTTATTCTGCAGGAATTTTCCCTTCATAAATCGTGCACCCTGTGGACAGCACCGTTGATTTAACATCTCAATATTAATAGTTCACATCTCACCTTTGGCCCTCCTAATAGAATCGTTTTCTCCAAACCGCCGCACTCCAAACCTTTTGCCTCCAATTGTGCACCCATCAGCGAAGGAGCCTTCAAGTCTGTCACGGATATATCCACTAAAACCTACATGGAACTATAAAGAAAGGAAATAACTAAAGAATACACTAGGCTACATATTTTCAAGAGTATTTCGAAAAGGAAGCACCTTTCAGAGCGTAATATCTGGCAACACATTTTCTAAAATACAACTTTCATATAACCGTTAGAAATTTATCACTTTTGGCGAGAAACTGCACATAGAAGGGCAATTATTGCTACTTTGCATCTTGACCAAAGTGTATATAGTATTGAAAATCCCAAAAAAATGCAAAAAAATTTGCAATGATATACTATTGTTGAGAGTAGTTAGAAAGTACAGAAATTTTCCGTGCTATCATCAGGTGAATTTTCCATCTGAAAATGGCACTGTCTGTCACAATCTATTTCAATTTGAGTGATCAGTACCTGGCAAGTTCTCTTTTGTTCCAGCTGCGGGCCCAGTCGATTCATGGAAGTAATAACATCGAAAGACACATTCCCTAGGAAGAATTAGAATAATGTACATAAGGCTTTGTGACCCTATTTTACTGAAATTCGGGCTAATTTCTAAAGAAACTTGTCCAGAGAACAGTCTTGTCCAATAAAGGATGCTGAGACAGTTTGACCTGCCCAGAACATATCTTGGTCTGACACGAAACTGGTATCCGCAGTTCCTGAGAAAATTAAGCTACAAGACTGTGTCCTGTCATTCGTATCGGCCATTTTTCACCAACTGTTGTCGTCTAGCCGCTTCAACAACTGGTAGTGAAAGGGTTGCGCGGCACCAACAGTACCAGCAATTGTGGGACTTGGCAGCTGACTGTGATTGGTGGGAAACTGGCTGGCGCCGCGCCAAACCATCTCGCCTGGCACGCCCCTTCATCCGCAACGAGCAAGACTGTGAGCAAGTTCCAGCAGTAAGGAAAAGTTGTATACATTTAGGAAATGTTGTTGATTCCTTAATCTAACGAATACCTGATGATACGCGGAAGACACAAAATGCTTATTTGCCGTTGCAGTGACAGCTCGGTAGTAGTCGCCTGAGCCAAAGATTACCTGAAATAGAACACTTATGTTGAAGTTATATATATTAAGACCTTTACTGCTCTACCGAAAGAAAACTGGCAAAAATATGCATCATATTGGGATGCATTCTGCAGTCGAAGCAGAATGTATCACAGAAAAGTGCTGAGCCACGGGAAAAGGTCCTGACACTAGGCTGGACTCGAAGACCCACCTCGTTGCAGTCACAACATTGCGTAGCCTTGGACGATTATGTTCTGTTCGCCACAACTAAACTGTCACGACCACGAATGCTGATTTCTCTCTAGATCCTCCTCCCACCCTCCCCTCCCCCCTCCTCTCAGTTGAATGCGTCATCTATTCATACGGCTTTCCTTCCAATAATGTACACCATGTACGATTCCCTTTTGGCCTTCTCTGATATGCAAAGAACCAGCGCTGTTAGGAAGGAGAGGGGGGGGGGGCATTTTGCACTATAGCTAGTTCCTTTTGTTAGTTCATGCTAACAAATAGGTCTCATTATGGTGAGGATATAAAGCCTTGTCAAGCTGGGAGTGATGCAGAGCTACTCAAGTTATAAGAAATCACGGTCTTCGTGAGGTGATCTGTACAACCAGTTGATGTCCCCACTAAGCCGAACTGCGCCGAATGAACCATTTTCCGTTATCTATTATTAACAAGTAACCACATACCAAACTTCGTTGGTTAATCCGATCCGAGGGCTTCAGTGTGGTGGTTTTCTCCGAGACCGCATCTTCTACTAACCGTACATGCGAGAACAATTCTTCCATTCGTTTCTTTTCGGACTCTCCTCCTACCGTGCTAAGAATATCCCGCACGGAATCGTAGGCCGTACGACAGATAATCCACTCTCTGCCTGGAAGTCAGAAGATTAGGCACATTCTTCATTTATACAGCATAATGCTATGCTGTCACACAGATCTGGGTTCTGTGGCCCATCTATCTCAGCGTCGGTTCACATCTTCGGCAAGCTTTGCCTCCGACAATCGAATACCCGTGTGCGCAGAGTCAGGCCTACTAATGCCTTAATCAGGGATCCACCTCATCCTGATGATAAGACGATGGAGGGGTATACAAGGCACAACAGCAAGCCTGACTCCGCCCATACGACCAGAGGGGAAGTCTTTGACCATCATCTCCATGCGTTTATTTGACACAAAATTGGCACAAGCCAAACCGAACGATTGCTTTTGGGAATCAACCTAGAGGAAACCATAAGCAATAATAGAACATGAAAGATGCAAACCTTCAATCTGGCTCAATAATTGTTTCCTAGCGGGATTTTTTCGTTCCATCTCTGCCTGTTGAGATAGTAAGACGCTGTCAAACCTACAAAAAATAAGTTGAGTTTTATGTCGGTTGCCACTCGGTAGCATACCTGACTAAGAAAAGTGTGGATATGATAGTGATGATAGAACAGTTTTCTGCGACCGGTATCGAGCTGGGACAGAGGCAAATGGCAAGGGAGACAAAATTCTTGTTCTTGGAAACACGTTACACATAGAGCTTATGAGCGGAGTTAGTTGGACCAATGCTCCCTCCTTATTGGTAGGTCCCTCCTAGTATGACGGAAAAGGCCTATACCGATGACGAAGGCACAATGGTGCAAGTGTCCCTCAGCCCCACACGATCGAGAGGCCTCCAGGTTTTATGGACTTGACAGTGTTTCTATATTTCGAAAACCAGCAGTTTGCGAGACCCTGGGAACATTCCCACTCCACAGCTCTTTTTGGAGACAACTGTACAGTTACTCCCATGGATCCTGGTCTTCGCCGTGTTTGGGCTGAATGGGTCCCAGCTGCACTGGCGTGCCAATTTCTCCGGTCAGAAGTGCACATGAACGGATCTAAAGGATAGTGATACCTAAAAGCAGTCTACCAACTCCGCCTCCGCTGCCGCACGGGCCCCACGCTTAACTATAGCCAAAACGTTACCTGCCTGCCCTTCCCGCTACTGGTTGTTACCTGCCGCGAAGTGAGTGTTTCTCTGCGGGACCTTGGTACCGACTCAAGCGCTGCACCTCGAGGACAGCGCGGACGGAGTACGGAAAGGTTTTCGGATACTAATATCCTCAGGCCCCGACCCCGAGCACTTTTACCGGAGAAAGTGGCACGCTACTGCAGCTGCGGACCCATTCGCCTCGGACATTGCAAGGACCATCCTTGGACCAGGTCATTTTGCTTCAAGAGCAGGAAAACCGTTAAAGGCAAACTGTACGAAAACTAAGCATGAAAAGCTTTGTCTAATGGAAACAGCAACTTACACGTGATTCGTGCCATTTTCATGAGTCATATTTGAGATCAGGACGAACACAGCCGATACATCCAGATTGACAGGCGGTGGGTGGGACGGCTCAGAGCCATTTATAGGCACCCGATCGTTCTCTTCTACGTCATTCATCAGCATTTCCATGAAATCTTCAGGGACTTTAGTGATTGTGTCAATTGGAACCTGAATTGTATATCATTTTCCTTCACAGCAACCACCACCAGTCATGCTGACCCGCCGCGCTGCGGCCGTACGCGGACCATATTAGCAATACACTGGGAGCACACAAATAAATCACAATTTGATGAGGTTTCAAAATAAAAAGCGAAGATACAGCTCACTTCTTCTCCTATTACGGTTACCCCTATAGACCGCAACTTTGATGCCATCGCGTCAGGAACGCCAGCGACAAATTCAAATACAACCTCCGGTGGACAGAAATTCTTTTGAAAGAGTGCGGCCATCTGAAATACAGTTCTGAAAAGAAAATATTGACAGCACGAATATGCAATAGAGCATGTTGAGCAAGAACATGCTGAAATACAGAAACTAAACAAATCTCACGTTCAAGTAAGTATCGGCTTGCTCGAAGATATTTCGAGAGCTCCCAGTCAACCAGTCCATACAAATGCCTTTTGCCGAGCGAGATATGATTTTAACCTGAACCTAGCTGATGTTATGTAATGAGAAAGAATGCCGCCTTCAATGGACAGTTGAAACACCACCGTTTAATGAAGAGAAGAAAATTACAATTAATTGGGTATATTATATATCCGCGACAAAAAAATAAGTAGAACATTGAAAAAATGATATCTGAGTAGTCAGGCAACAAACGCACACACTTACACTGGACTAAACTATAACATGGGGTAAAAAAGAAAATGGGGACGCTGATAACTTTGCCAGGGGGAGGGGGTGCCATAAGTGTAAGCGCTTGTCAATGCATGAGGGTTTGCTTGTTTGTCTTTCTTGTCATGTCACAGTCGTGTCTTACACTGCAAATCAGTAAATTTCTGTCAAGAATCCCATAATCTCCTGTCAAGCATGGTGAAAACTAGTGTCACTGGAAGGCGTTTTTCTCCATTTTTTTTCCAAATTTTGACCAGCTTTTCTGAGAAGTTTGGCAAGAGTTCACAAGAGCTCGTATGGTGATACCAAGGCTTATAGTGAGTCGACAAGGCTGTCCGGCATCCACATGTACACAGGATGCTGACAAGTGCTCACAGGTGTGGCATCATGCCCCAAGGTTATAAGCGGCCGAAACTGGAAGAGATTTGCAGCAATTGCTCCATTAGGCAAACGAGGGACGAATGCGTAGATGCTCAAACTTTCTTGAGTTAGAGTTGTACACTTGCTGTGGAGAAAGCCCCTCCCACGATTGTCATACATGCGGGCACCCATAACCACTTATCCACTGATACGACCCCCCTTTTTTTGTTGTTTTCCCTCGCGTTCCTTATAAATAGGCTGAAACATGGAAGGTGTATCTAATGGACTGTCACCACGGATGTGAGGGATATGAATGATCTTGCGGTTTCCCACTGAACTATGTCTTTATAACTATTTCTGGATTCTTGTTGCGAAGTCGGTATCATCTATCCCTGCAATTCCTGTTTTCCTCATTCTGCATTACGATTGGGAAGAGTCTTCTGTCAAGGTCTGTCACGACTGCTAACATGTCTGATAAAACTCATCCCACGTATCGCCTGCTCTTTGCAACGATATCTCACCGTATGTTTCATTGTCATCCTTCTAGAAATCATATACTGTTTTGTCAAATTATCGCATGAATAATGTGAATTGGACACAATTGGAAGGCTTCAAGTAACACTAGACATCAGCGATCGCTTCGTCTAGCATGAAATCGCGCATGTTCCCTGTAACTTCCTTTAGTGAGGTCTACCAGGACCTGCTCGGTTCTTACTTTAGGGTTGCTTACGGAGGTCTTTGTTTTCTTCTGCTTTATTCCTTCGCTCTCTTTTTTTTGCTGTCTAAAGAGATTCAGCTTTGATCGACTTTGAGTTTCGCAATTGAACATTGTAAATAGGCGGAGTTTTTAATTTTGAGGAGGCGTCCAAGTTATTGGGGCCATTTTTTCGATCGTTTTGAAGTCGCAGATGTTGAATTCTAGCGCTCTGGGTGAGTACCTGTCCGCTTCTGCGCTTAGTATGATTATTGGTTGTCATTATCGTGATCAAATCGATGAATGATGTTGTGAATAATTACGCTGAACTGTAGTAATGGAAATGGCAGTATCGTTATACTCACGCCCTCGTTCTGGTATTTCAAGTAATTGTATGAATAATGTGTTGGGAAATGATGTCAGGCTTGATTACATTTTTGTGTTCTCATGGAAATCGTCCAAATCTCGGAACACAATTATTCTGCTGAAATTGAGTCACTAAATTGCTGTTTCTATGTTATTATTTCCTCCCATGTTGTCTTTTCCTAACTCGATTCTTCTAGAAATGTACTAAATCAAGGCTCGTATATAACTAATCATTTGTAATAATTGTAGAGAGAGGTATCCTCACGGGATGATTTCCACTGAGAGAAACTCAAAATATCTCGTCTCCAGATATTTTCAGAATATAGTTCAACAGAAATCTTGTAGTTCCTTATGGGTATTATCATACCTGGTAGCTACAGATATTATAAACAATCTGAAGAACGTGTCCAAAAAAGGATGACGCCGTGTTGAATGCAACACTTACGCGCCTTTCGAGGAATTTCATCTCGCTACGTTAAGTCCTTATTTCGTGAAGTGCTGACATCCTTTGTTATCGGATCATAATGTTTTTTGTCAACCGTGAGTTGTGTGTTTCTAATAGATCTTTTGCAGCTTCGATCGAGCCAGCAAGTTAACATCGGCAGATCGTCATCGGCGCGACATCTTGTATCAGTAAAGCTTTCATTGGGTTATCGTATTTTATACCATAGATGTTTTTAAGTTACGTAAGCATACAAATAGTTGACTGTCCCCGCCGCCCGTTTGAATTACCTCCGTTCCTTCTCTACTCAGTGATTTTCATGCTCTAAAAGCGGTTGCCGCGAATTCAGAAGGAAAACAAAACTAGAATCTTACTTATAAAACCTGGAGCCGGATAAGGAGAATATCAGGTGAGTAGTATCTCTAGCCTCACGGACCGATCGGTGATTCGCGTTTCATGTTGTCTTTCTGATCTGGACAGCAGGTGGACACCCATACACTCCGAAGAGTGACTTCCCGCACTGCCACAAAAGCAGCCAATCTTGTACAGGCAAGATGTTTATTTTGCTTGCACAGGTATGGGACCCCCCATATCACGAAGTATACAATGACCTTTCAATGCAAGAAGATGCTTATTGGAATTGCCTGGAGAATTGGTGGGCCGTGCTTGCGCTGACGGTCAACCTTTAAGATAGAATAATGTAGAAAAGGGTGAGCATAGTATCGTCTGGTGGCATAAAACTTCTCCCCGTTCGCTGTCACTCTTTTTGACAAGCTTTCCCTGAAAAAAGGAATCAAATTATATCTCTATGTATCGCTGCGTGACGGTTTGGGTCGGTCAGGCAAGTAGTGATGGGTGGTCATCCTGTGTACGATGCTGTCTCTGTCCTTTTTGTCTTCGATGAGCGTGCATACCATCGAAAGTTGGTTAGATTAAGTCGAGCAATCTTTGGTTGCCAGAATTCCGGGTTTGGCACCATGCCGAATTCATCTCTCGCCTTGGCCGTATCCTGTCCGCAGTGAGTACTAACTGACATGCTGGATCGGTAAATGCTTGCGTTTTTTAGGTTTGATGACGAGCAATAGACGTGGTTGTTAGAGTAGCTTTTCATCTGGACTGCGTTTGTAACCAATTTCTTTCAATTAACGCCTTCTATAGCGGTTGAATCATTCAGTAAACCTGCCATTGCTTTGCTGCCTCAGACAAGTTGCCTTTCGGAGCAATCTGTTGCTCAGTTAATTGCAGTCAGGTATTATGAAATGGAACAGTCCTCATGGATACCAATGTTCCGTATACAGTTCAGCCAGGGCACGATGTTACAATGAGAACTCCGCGGGGGTCGAACTGGCCGCAGGGAAAGCAGATAGGGGTCGTACCATGTGAAACTGACGCTGTTGGGCTGCTGACCTCACTTGTATTCTCCCGTTTATGCTCCTTCTACTCCCCCCCCCACCTCCGTCTGAGCTCGACAGCAGTTTCCTTCGAGGGAAAGGTTCAGATTGGTTTGGAGTTTAGAGGTAGAAATAGGGTGTTGAACGAGGAGGTATAGCTGTAGTAGTGGAGGGAGATTCTAGTGGGTCGTATTTCACTAAGGAGATCACGGAAAATTGCTACTGAAAATGCTCGAAGGCAATGCTCAGTTATCACTCCCTACAGGCCCTACCAATGATACCTACAAACCTTTCCACACTCATTCAATGAGATCGGAACGCACTTAAACGGTACACGTATAGGTTGTGGCAGGAACACATTTTTTTTGAAAACGTAGACTTTGTATACATATGTAAACGTTTATACTTATATCCATCCTTCAACAGACAATGAAATGCTTTTGACCTGCTCCCTTTGCGTAAAAAAGCCACCAAATAAGTTAAAGGCGAATTAATGCACAGTATAAACAACTTCAAAGGATTACACTTCGTAAGTGAAAGATCGTATAAATGAAAGATTAAATACAAGTTGTATACTTACAGATTCTTCAAAAGGTCGCCTAAAAGAAATCTCTGTTCGTTTCAACATTAACTTCTTCAGAAAGCAACAATTTTTAAACCGTTAGAACCGTCATATCAGCTGATGAAAATGGATCACACCGTGATCATCGAGGCAATCGAAAGCAATGCGAAGGCAGTTTATGGGCTACAAACGTGATAACAGGAAAAATTAAACTAAAACTTCACATAAAAGAGGCGCCAAAATTTATTGCAAAAGACTCAAAAGATTCAAAAGAATCCAAAAGTTTTCACAAAATTTTTTTTTATTGTTATACTCCTCTCTTCGAATATTTCGGTGCCTAGCCACCTCTTCAGCAATGTGGTCTGCTTGCCTCACGTATCCGCCAGTATGCCGCCGCTGCTCCTTGCGAGTCACCACTAGAAGGCGCGGCGTTCGCAAGGAGCAGCGGCATATTGGCGGATACTGGAGGCAGCAGACCAGATCGCTGAAGAAGGTGCTAGGCACCGAAATATTCGAAGAAGAAGGAGTATAAACAATAAAAAATTTTTGTGAAAACTTTTGGATTCTTTTGAATCTTTTGAGTCTTTCGCAATAAATTTTGGCGCCTCTTTTATGTGTTCAACATTCAGATTGCAATGAGGCTCCGGGACAGCACTATTTTAAGATTTCATACAAAAAGCTATTAAATTATGCGGAGTAAACCTTTACCAACCCATGTAGCATTGCAGTGAAAAATGATAATTTAGCCATCACCGGATTGAGTGAAATGGGGTCTTATAAAAGGGGTCTGACTATTTCCTCTCCTACTCGAACAACACATTTTTCACAAGCCAGACAATGCATCGTAACCAAATGTATCCGATCCGTTTCCATCGCGAAATCAATTCGTTCATAAATATAGCACGAGGATATCATCGGAGACGCGGTCCACTGAAAAACTAGTAGAACAATGAAACTTCGGATATTCTCATACACTAATTAATAAGAGAAATTTTCACTGTATAACAATTATTATTCTATTCCCGGCTTGAGATACGAAGCACCAATGCGCAGGAATGGAAAATCAAGAGACTTTCATGAACGACATCACTTTAAAACCCAGTCTATGTTGGTTGTATGGGCAGGGTCAGACCTACTGTTGCCTCTCTTCCTTAGCGCGTCTTTTTTTTCTGAAACGGCAAAGGGTAGAGGCGCGCAAAGGAGAGCGCAATGGCAGTTTTTTCTATTTCGGATTCAAGAAAAGAGAGCACCCTCAACATATTGGTAACTTGTTTCAGATGGCTGTTGTTTAACGGTGCAGCACTCCTCCGAAGCACATGAGTGCTGAGATATGGGCAAGAGTGAAACCTCAGGGGAACTCGAACCCGCTCTCCCGCTGACCAGACAAGTGCACAATCCATTGCGCCACCGGGGCCGCTCCATATAAGTACTTTTCGAGCCAAATAACACAGCTATGCAACATAACGTATGTTGGTCTTCTTAAGCAAAGCAGAGGAAAATTACCTGACGACACTTAGAGCACTTTTACGCTCAGTCTATCTGCAATCATCCTCAAATCCCATGGAAGTACATTTTCCGGCAACCTGAAACATACAGATTGTTCCTTTCATTTTACGACGATAACACCGACGCGACACTGTGGCTGAGTGGTCTTTTTAAGCCCCTAGCCTCAGGTTGAGAAGAGTAAGCACTTGAATCCGCGCGCCTAAGGCATAACGGACATAATCGCGCCACAGCTCCATCAGCTACGGTAGGGAACGCAAGAACTCAAAGATGGAGATAGCGAAAGCGAAATTGTGGTTGACGTCGCCTGATTATACATATCCACACTGTTCAGTTCCATCGTTTTGAAGTTAAAAGTACAGTCTTCTTCGCTGTGGATGAACGGGGTGTTAGGTGGGACGGACTTGGCGCGGCGCTCAACCCGTTTTTCACCAGTTGTTGAACGAGAAGGCGACACCGTATCACATCGTATCAGTCGTTTTTCACCAACTGCTGTCGCTTACCCGGTTCGACAACAGAAGGAGAACGAGTTCAGCGCCGCCCCAAACTCGTGTCAAATCGTGCCTGACACGCCCCTTCATTCGTAGCGAATACGAGAAAAATGGGAGGCAAAAGCTCAATACTTACGAAAAACGTCGTACTGATGCGAATGCCAGTGCACAAAGTGAAGCAATGGAAGCCTTCTCTGGAGGAGGTAATCTATAATGGTAAAGGTATAAAAAAGTCCGAAAAGCATTGACCAAGAGCTAATGTAAAAGAAATGAAAGGAAATTTAGACCAACTCACGGAATTACTAATGGATTATTATCACAGTCGAACCTGTCGAATTTTTGGCTTTTGAGATCATGAGGCAAGAAAGTAATACGGTTATTGTCAACAAATAAATTCCTAAGTCGCATATCAGATATCTGAAATAAACGGATTTGAACACTATCATCAAAACAAAGTAGTCCGAAATTCGTCAAATACTCACATCTCTTGGTAGGGCAGTCAACTCATTAAAGCTCAGCACAAGCGTTTGGAGATGTCTCACTTTTACTATGGATTTGGGTAGAGACTTCAGACGATTTACAGCCAAACTCAAGACTTGAAGTGAATGTGGAAGCGATTCGAGAAAAGAGCGGCTGAAATTTTTTACGTCAGAACTTTCAAAATCGAATGAGGATAATAACTGCTGCACTGGGCAGAAGCGGTATAGTGGCAGACTTTTTTTTACCAGCGCAGTTCGGCTTGATGGGGGTATTCAGTGAAACTAGTTCAGGCCACCCTGTGAAATCCTGTAAAACCCGCAAGCAGAGCGGATCATTCCCACCATTTCACAGGATTTTACAGGTCTCACCCAAAAGTAACCCGTTAATTGACAAGAACCAGCAGATGCAACTAGCGGAAATGCAAAATGCTTCTCTCAATCAGAAAAACACCGTCCTGCTAGCAGTAAACATGACACGGGTGTCCAATCTCGGATAGGCCGTCGTCCAGGCCCGGCAAGACTGCCAACCCTTCGTCATCGGTTAGGGTCGACGCATATCAATCCTGTCTGGTACAGTTAAAGTACTGAACTGTACATCGGCTGCCCCTCAAAATCACTCTGTGGATCAAGTCATATCAAAAGGCAACAACTCTGAATGGAATTAGAATGATGGAAGCAGAATACGTGACGCATTCCTAGAAGTATTGATCAGCGTTTAGAGCTTCATCTTTTTTTATAGTTTCACGGATACTATGACATGTTCTGTACTTAATCTGCAACACAAAAAGAGCCAAAATACCATCCCCCTTCCAATTTTCTCCAGTGTAACGACCCCCTCATGCTAGCATCTTCTGTGAGGGAAGTAATAATCTAGGTCACGAATTGAATTTCTAGGCTGAGAGAAGTCGCACTGAGCACCGAGAACGGTGCCTGAAGAATAATTCATGAGTGAGAGTGTGGAAGAGATATTGTTTGTCCGGAAAGTTCTCGGCGTTTGTGCACCTATTTATGTGCTACATTCACTTGCGTATTAACAAACTCATTTGGGCCTTGCTTTTTACAGTGCCATCCTGTAGAGAATTTCTTGCGCTATCTGATGGTATAATTGCCGTTCACCATTGCTTGATAAACCCCCTTTTTTCAAGATTTTTTCCAAGCATGTGAAAAGAGCACTTCGGACGATTTTTTCTTCGACTATAAATTGGGGCAATCCGCAATCGAAAACAGCTCAACAAATTAACCAGGTGTGGGGGCCCAATAGTGCTAGAGAAAGCACTGTGCGGCAATGGCTCAACAAATTTCGTTCTGGAGATTTCAGCCTTGAAGATGAACCTCATAGCGGTCGACCTAAAGCAATATCTGACGAGGATTTTAGGGGGATTTTGGAGGCTGACCCATCCCAAACAGTTCGAGAGATAGCAGAAGAGCTTAGGCGTTGGGCAAAACCACTGTTTGCAAAAGAATGCGTTCGGAACGCATTGGAAAGGTGAAAAAACTCGACAATTGGGTGCCCCACAATCGGAGTGACCGGCAGGAATCGGCACGTCTCGAGGTTCCTTCTGCATTGCTTTTGCGCAGCAGAAACGACCTGTTTTTGGACCGAATTGTCACCTGTGATGAAAAATGGGTCATGTATGATAACAGGAGACGTTCCGGACAGTGGTCTGGATTTTCGACGAACCACCGAGGTAATTTTCAAAGCCGAACCCTCACGAAAAAAAGATTCTGGTCACGGCTTGGTGGTCATCGGCTGGTGTGATCCACTATAACTTTTTATCACCAGGCCAAACCATCACAGCAGAACCCTACTGTGAAGAAATCGACGAATTGTACCGAAAATTTTGTCAGATGCAGCCAACACTTATCAAAGAAAGGGTCCGATTCTTTTGCATGACAACGCCCGCCCACACGTTTCACAAATCACTATCCATAAATTGAACGAATTGGGGGTTGAAGTTCTACCTCAACCGCCATATTCTTCAGACCTTTCGCCAACCGACTATCACCTTTTCTAACATTTTCAGAACTCCCTTGCTGGAAAATACTTCATCAATCAGGACCAGGCAAAAAAGCCTTAGTGGATTTCGTGAATTTTCGACCACCCAGTTTTTTACTTTGATGGGATTCTCTGACTGCTGTCACATTGGCAAATGTGTGTTGATTCGAATGGTGCTTATTTCGATTAAATCCGATGAGTATTAAAAAAGTTACGATCGTTTAAAGTGAAACACCCAAAACGCTGAGAACTTTCCGGACAACCTAATATATAGCACATAAGAAACGAGGAAGAAAACGCGAGAGGTCAACAACCGGAGAAAAACCCTTGAAGACAGATACGACCTTTCCCTCAAAGCGACGAGCGAATACGAGCCCCTCTGGTCCTTCCAATGTTGTGGACTGCACGCGTGAAACAGGAAAGCCATATCAGAAAATTACCGTATGAAAAATTTCGAAACCCAAATACGTCTTTCCAATTCCTCCAGCGACGAAATGCGACCCCCGCTAGTATTTCCCAGCCTGAATACAAATTCAGCCAACCTTTAGACTCCCCAGTAAGACGTAACAGCGCCTGCCAGCTGCAGATAGACGTGCCCACTATACTGCTGATTTTCTAAGCAAATTTTTTTATCAACGAAAGCTTTTTACCCAAAATCTCACACGCTGTAGCCGCGCCGGGGCAGGACAAGCAGCGGATCCAGTAAGCCTGTATTCTACATATTGACACCTGTTTTGCGCTGCCTCAGCATTACTTAAAGAGGTTAGGGATAAGGCAATCGGCGTTAATCAAAATGGGTCGCGCAGTCTACCTTCATTCAGAAACGGGGGCCTGATGAATGCAATAGGTCTTGGCAGTAACTTATGGGAGCCAACCGATACATAAGCCACTGTTATTACCATTTCAGCTAACTCTGCTGCTAATTCCATCCACAAGAGTCGTAGAAATGGTTGACCTAAGCAAGAGCGCGTTCATTCTTTGCCGATGGCGCGATCGTGAAGCATGAACGCGCTCTGAGAGCCGGTCCATGATTTGACTAGGCCAGCTCCGATCAACAATAAAGTCTATAAAAGAACTCACCGGCAATGTTTCTATTTGATTATCTTCTAAGGAAAGAACACGCAAGTTATTTAGTCGCGAAATCAGCTTCATTTTCACGAAATTCGATGCCTGTCCCAGACGATTTCGTGACAGATCCAATTGGTAAAGCGTTGGCAAGGAAAACCAGCGACTATCGACGCTATCCATACCTATAAAACAGGTGCTATTTCAAGAATCAATCTTTCACACTCTTTCTCAAAAAGACTAATTACTTTTCGATGGGAACGGCACTTTACGCTAACATTCATTATTCTTTCATGACCTGCCTAAGAAACGGTACATGTGTGATAGCAGCAATGAATGTCGATTTCAAAGCTTACCTAGTGAAATCAACTCTAAGCTCTCTAGGGACGATGGATAAACAACTCCTCTTAAATCCTCTTTCTTTGTGATGCACAACTTCTTTGGTTGAACTTTGAAGTCCGTCGTTTTCACCTTAACACTCGCAATTGAAGTCTTAAGGATGGTGAATTCATGTATAACTCACCTTGTCTAAAGACTTCAATGAAACATCATCACCCTTTAGAATGTCCTGAAGATTCCGAACAAATCGCTGCAGGTGCGCTGGGTTACTCTACAGAAAAAAGAACACTTGCGACATTCCTTATCCACAACAAAAAGTAATCCAACCTTCATTATAAATACACTAATTGAAGGATTATTGAAGGAAAACGAGGCACGACCTGACGCAACTCGCTGTATGTGCATTTCTCGAATATTATTCGGAATAACCTGAACTGAACAATGAGATTTTTCTAAAACTTTTCGGCCATGAAACCAGCTATGCGGATCTAATCACAATTCGAACTGTTAATTAAGATTAATGGAATAAGGAAGTCAAAGGCATAGCCAGAAGATCAGCTGTCATAAAAACTGCAGGATAAGTGAAAATGATCTGAGTTCGTAACGATCAACCTTTCCTCGGCGAAAATTCTGAAGCAGTCCGCCAAAAGAATGTAACTGCTCATAGCACACCATAATGACGAAGAAATTTTTCCCCTCATCTCGCAGTCAAAAGACGACAGAAGAAGATGCCCCTCCTTATGGAGACCACAACATATGGCGTGCACTGGTGCTCGTATACCAGTTACCAGATCCATAATAGTAAAGAATCAAAGCGTCATAATCTTTACATGATCATCAAAAGCATCTGATAGAAGGCAAACCTTTCTATTGAGAATAAAGCTAATTCACAATAATGCTGAGTTAAGTGCAAAAGTCTGACCCGGGCGATAGTAGAACAGCACCTCACGCTTTCCGGGCGAGTGCGCTATAGCGCCACCAGGGCCGCTATCAACCTCTCAGCTCAACGGCTTTATGCCGTAGCCTTACAGCATTCACACGTTTAACTACGCCACCAGGGCCGCTGTTGCCTTCTCAGCTCAATGGACAGCGCAAAGCGAGAAGTGCGGGTTCGACTCCCGCCTGGGTCAGACTTTTGCCCATAACTCAGCATTCTTGTGATAACTTTCGGAACGCGCACTGCGTCGTGAAACAGCACTTATTATATTAAAACAAGTTCGTAAGCTAAATATTCGGAAGGAAGAGAAGAGATAGGCACAGTGGAGGGATTTGAAACACCTAAGTTATTTACATAACCAAAAAAAAACTGAAAGTATAGCTGGACAAAAAATTACCTCAATTGGAGGCGCGTTCGTATCACGTCGAGTTGCAACATGTAATAAATACCGTATTCCGCCCTGAAAATTGCACATAATTCGGGCCTAGAAAACGATCGCTGTCACTATAAAAGACGGTAAAACACATTTTCAAGTGGAAGCATGCTTGTCCCGCTGCAGCTGACCTTCGTGTGAGTTTGTTGCTCATACTATACAGTACAGGGTGTTCCATGACAGTAGATTTAAAAAGACAGAATGAATGGTTGAAGCAGAGCAAGCACTATGAGAACTTTTTATTCAAAACACAAAGGCAGTGAGTCACCACTGAGAATGCGTTCGTACCTTGCGATGGGAGAATAGGAGAATCGGTAATATAAGGTGGTGTGGGAGTGCGCTCGCAACCAGGAACACCCTCGGTAGTGATTTGGCTTTTTTGGGAGAATAAGAAGATTGGCGAGCAAATGTTTTGCAAGAGCGACTGCTCAGCGCATCAAATTTTCTGATTCTACCATTTCCCCCCCCCCCCCTCGCAAGGTATGAACGCAGCAAAGGGATACCTATAGGACCTTCACACGACGTCTGTATTCCAGTCGCTTACTACCACGCACGTGTCCCTTACGTTCACTACGAGTGTACGAACGATCGCTATTCTCAGAATGCGGACTGAAGCGGGCTATGACAGGGTATGCAACAAGTTAAAGACTGTTCCCGCGATAAAAGTGTCATGGATAATCTCCTTCAGTTATGAAACCGTAGCTGATAAGTAATTCCCCAAAGAAGAAAAAAAAGCACGAAGTCCTCAAGAACACCATAAACAAAATCGCTCCCTGACAGTCAC